AGCTGAGCTATCTAGCTGGCAATGTCAATAATCTATTACACATGGGCATAGAAGTCAAAGAAACATTGATAATGACCCATTATTTAAAGTAAATCATATCAGAAACGTCCCTTGAAAATGATATTTTCATTTTTGACCCACAGTTATTACCACTACCTCCTAATGGGCCTAATTAAACTGAGCCTGCAGAATTTTATAATTTTGCTGTCTGTCAGACATGGCAATTTCTTATGGGTTTCATCTTTATCTCCATTTGAAGGGATGTAACTCATGGTTACTAAATAGTTTGTTCTTATCTGTCTATCTTAGTCATTACAGACTATTCTAGCTGTATATAAACATAAAAAATCTTTTATATTAACAAACAGAACATAATAAGATGAAAAATTTACCTGTTGGAGAAATTCATCAAATGGATGGAGGTCCAGGAATCATGATGAATATGAATAGAAATATTGTTTTTGACTGGCTTTATGTACCTTCTAGTTATTGTGGCAAGGAATTTTATAATTATTCAGTTAAACCTGGTTTTTTAGTTAAGATTTTCAGGACTCTAAATAAATTCATATTTGTGGTATCAGGGGAAATTAAATTACTATTTGTGCTAAATCTGATCATAAACATCAATCTAAATATTTAGAATGTACCTGTGTTGAGTGTCATATTTCACTCTTCACTTTGGTTATCCCAGGTCAACCCTTTTGTTTACTAATGGCTTTAATTTAACTGCCCATGCAATCATAAGCTCATATATGGCTAATAATTTTACCTTATATATATTAATAGTCTAAGGAGTTATGGAAAAAATGTTAAGGGTGGCTCAGCCTGACTGAGTGATTTGATTGTAAATAACATATTTCAAAATATATTTCTGGACTCAACATGCTTTCAAAACTCTGTAAGAAAACTGTCAAATGATGAATATTCATCTGGATTTGTTACCCAAAATTTGTGTGATTCTAGCACTTCATTTTTTCTAGGATTGCAATAGCTTTCTATTTTGTCAAATAATTTTTTCACTTTCAGTTTATGTTCTGCATTTGCCCATGTAAATTGATAACTTTGGGTCCAAGACAGTGTAATAGGATATTTACTTGTATCTTTTCATCTTTCTCAGCATTTCCACTGGCAGTCAACACTGGTAAAGTAAATTTCCATTGGCGCTTCCATTTGATAAAGTTATGTGATATATTACCATTTTCAACATCTAAATGTCCAGGGGACGAAACGTAACTGCCATGATTGTCAGTTCGAATAATACCGATTACGAAGGCTAAATTCGAATAATATTGAGTACGAATCTTCCCCTTCCCGAAAATGGCTTTTGGACGATATATTTCACTAAAGCGGCAGAAATACAAACAAATAATTGCTTACTCTTTCGATGCCACCACGTTGATAGGGTTCTATTATATGCAATTATATGACAATACGTTTTCAGAACGTAAACTGTAATCCATTCATACAGACGCTTACAATGTTACATAACACTAAATAAGACATATATATCTGTATATGCTCGTTTTCTAAAACAGTTTGAAATAGAAAAAGTATGCAAGTCTATATTTAAAAGTAAATAAGGTTTATTTGTTTGATTTAATATTAATTTTGGATGTTTGACATATTTTCATTCAGAGTCTGTCGTAATTCATTCATTCTTGCACGCGCATGCGTGGATACGAAGTTTGAAGCGAAGGTTTACACAATGCTTTTATGAATGAAATAGAAATTTTCATATTTTTCGCTTTTATGTTTAGAAAATGTTTATTTAAACTGAAAGCGCATAGTTTTGAACTTTCAAAGCTTATTGACCACTATATGCAAACAGTATATTAATAAAAAGTGATCTTAATGTGACAATCCTGCAAAATGAGGATCTACTTTTATCGAGGTTTCATCCAAAGGTGGATGTTGTTCAGCAAAACAGGTTAGGTGTACTAAATCTGAAATACAGCTATAACTCTGTATACATTGCAAGCAATGTATACAAAAATATGACGTGCAATCCTATTTGTAAGAAACACGATAAATCAGGCTTACATGTAGGAACATGAAAAATTCTTCATGTACATTGTTGTATAATTTGTAGTAGATTTTTTGTCCTGTTAACGCGTTTCAATAAAAAAAAGCTTTCTTGGTGCACCCTCAGCATTAATTTTTTTTTATTTAAGGAAAAATATTAAAAATGATTGTTTTCCTCTTAATTAATGTTGCATGATATGTTAAGAATAAGGAAATTGATAAGAATGTTATCTTGGTTTTCTGTCAGGATGTAAGCCACTTTTAGAGCGTTTCTGTCTACATAGGCAGCCTCGTAAATATATTTATGCCTACAACGGCTTCATATTCTCTTTAACCCTTGAAGTTTGCATACATGCACAATTTCCATGAAAAAAAAAACAAATACACGCTCTGTAGATATTTCTGCTTATAATACGAAATAATAATTTGAATATTTCGGTCAAAATTATATCACCTTGGCGGATTTGTCCTTAATTGTCGCCTTTAGTCCCCTGAAAATGTTTAAGTAACTGAACAAACATGTCAAAAATTACCTGATAGCTTCTTCAGTCAATGGACAGTTAGTTCATAGAAATCAAAATAATTATCAAAATACATGAATCAACCAAATTTATAACATACCTGTAGTCATCAGGACATTTTGAAATATCTGCCATCAATGCAGGAAGCTAACATCACAGGTGTCAGTAATACGGTGTGATTCTATCAGAGATAAAACCACGAAACCATGCCAATTTTATTTAAGTTTCTTAAAGTTATTTTAATGCTACACGAACAATAAACATTGTGTTTTGCAAAGAGATGGTTTATAAATATTTTCAGTAAAACAATATAATTATACATATATAATGAATACTATCTAATTTGTGTAAATTTAAGTTATATATCAGACAATGTTTTGTTTTAGTTTCTAATTTTCTGAATTACATTTATGGAATTGAATAATAGAATTACTCAAGACATCTATTGCAAAAATAAATTAAAATATGACTAAACAAAAGAATGATTTAAACAAAGTCAATGTCTAAACCCATCATAATTTATCAATAAACGTATAAAGCCTCTGAAAATCGGAATCCTCTGAAAACCGGAATTTTGGTCAAGTCCAGGGTCCGGTTTTTAGAGTTTTTACTGTACATGCATTAGGAAATTTAGAAATGCAAAGCAGGTAAGAAAGCTTTATATGTTCTTCAATAGGATAATATGTCAGCACGAAATCGTATATGTAAGCTTTGTAATAGTGAAATAGAGACCAAGTTCCATTCTTTTCGTTATCAAGTGTCCAGTTTATACATGAAAAATTAGCATTCAGATTGAGAAAGGAAATGTAAGACTGAATAACACAATGATACAAAAATTATTCATGCCCTAAATTATTGTCCAAAAAGTTTAATTGTTTTATTGTTAATGTTATATGAAATTCCAATTTGCTCTTTTGTATGCATAATGTTTCTATATAATTATGTAATATGTTGTTACGGGCCGGTCGTCTCTATCAAATAATGCTTTAGGTTTAGATTTTACTTCTGGTCTGTTGTTTAAGTCTTCGCTCCTTCTTAAAGAATATTATGTGTCTTTGTTTGTTTGTTTGTTTTGTTAATGTTGTTGGGTTTTTTTCTAGCATTTTGCTCTTTTATATTTTTATATTAGCTCCCTTCTTAATTTTTGTAATTATTGCTCGTTGATGTGTATATAACAAATCGTATATATGATATGTGATGTGTGATGGTGGATTAGCAGTGGGTATGCTTTCATGACTATTCTGCTAGACGCTGGGCCGTAATTGGACTGACATTTCGATTTGGTGGTATGTGCTATTATTCTATATATATGTATATATTATAATGTTTAATGGAATGACAGCTGTTAATGTAACTATACCGTTTGTCCTTTGTTGTTAATTAATGGTCATAAATTATGCTGTACAAAGAGCAATAAAATATCATGATACCGGATCACGACGAAATTACCTACTAATTTCGCCAACTATTTCCAATAAAATCAAACATCTAAAACTATAATACGAGTTTATGGAGATTTTCAGAAATGCATAGATATTCGCATGACGCTTTTAATTTTTGTGCAAAAAATATGACGGAATTCAATACTTCTATCTAGCTACTTGTTTATTAACAGAGAACAGGCACTTTTTGCATAACAAAAATACGTGCTTTAGTTCAACTTATATGGCAAGAATAATATACCTTACATTTTTTTTTTAAATTTCTATGGATTTAAAATTTTTTAAATAATCTGGAGTCGCTGTGCTTTAAAATTTAGATTAAATTGGTAATGTTATAAAAAGAAGTATATCTAGTAGTTGATCATATAGCATCGATGTATTTGATTTATTTTTGTCATGAATAAAAAAGGATACAAAGTTATGAGAAATGATAAAACACAATAAAATATTTTTTTTCTTTTATTAATATACAATCATCCGGACCAATATAAAATCATAATAAATTCATTACATCATAAACATGAATCAATCATGATAACATGGTGTCTTAAGTGCAGAAAGGAAGCTTTTTTTTTCATTTATTTTGGTACCAAATTATATCGCTTCGTGCGAATTACTATTGCTGCAACACAATTCAAACAATGTTCTCAAAAAACCACAAAACGTAGGATAATGCACTTTGTATTGTCATTTGAAGAAAATTACCGCGCATATGATACGCTAGGTTTTGTTTTGATTTAAGAAACGTTTGGCACCTTAATTTAACATAATAGGGTACTTACCGGGGCTCAGCAGTCGCCATTTTCTCGTGAGTATTACTATACAAAGACACGTGATTCCCCCCGTGTATAAGTATATTTGTATCTTTAAACCGTCTAATAAAATATTTTTGTAAGAAAAAAGAAGGTGCTAACGAGGGTAATAAAATGAAGAATTTGTGAAAGAAAACATGAGCATAGAAGATGAAAAGTAGAAATGAAGATAAAGAAAAGTTATGTCCTATTAAAAATGTTTTTCTAAACATTTAATTTTTGATATTTTTTCCACAAATTAAATACATCATGAAAATAAGAAGAAGAAAAAGAAAGAAAGGATAAAGATCGTTTCCTTTTCTATGTGTATGTTTACTTACTGTATGGTCTTAAGGTCTATCTTTCACTAAAATTTGACCATTTATATTTTAAAAATAAGTAATCTATATTTTTATTAATGGTACTTCTTTTTCAATTCTAATTCAATAATCAAGCCAAGGCAAGAATTTCTTTTTTAAAAGTAGGAACATTTTTGTTAAATATGAAAATATTAACATATTATGATAATAAAGTTGAGTGTTTGCTTAACTATTATATCAAAAGGTTTAGAAATTTTCATACTTTTAAAGAAGCACGCCTCACGATTCATGCACATTTTTATGATTCATGATTTCAACTTCACGAATTCACAATTTCAACTTCATGAATTCACGATTTCAATTTCATGAATTCACGATTTCAATCTCACGAATTCACGATTTCAACATAACAATTACAACTTCGTGAATTCACAATTTCAACTTCACAATATCAAATTCGAATGTTATAAAACATTATATATAATACATGAATTATTATTACAAAATTATGTAATTATTTTGCCTGAAATTATCGGTAGCACAAGAATTGATAATCTTATAGCGAAGGCTGTCATTTTCTTCCCAACCATATAATAGCATGTTTTTATTCGACTGCCCTATCCTCCCGTATATCCGTGAGTCAGTTATATAAAATATTTATATCCTATCTATATTGTTTTCATTATAAAGAATTTCAAATTTGATGGCTGCAGATTTTTTCAATAGTTATTGAAATATTGTGTTGGTGGAGAATTAAAGAGGAGACTTGCATATATTTTTGTCAAAATCATACAAAACAAACAAACAAAGACAATCTAGAGTTAAAACATAATTCATATTTCCGATGTGGATTCCGTTGCAACAAAGATACAAAACAAGCTATATGTCTATGGATGTAGGCCGATAAGTCAGTAAAGTCAAGACTGGCTGGTCGTACTTGTGTTGACAGTGGTTGCTGATGTAAATCTTCTCCTTACACAATTAAATACACCCTGGACTTCCGGTATCCTCAAAGCATATATAATTGGATCAAAAATTGTATTCAATACATACAATATCTGGAGCAATATTTTCACTAACACCATGCGGTATGGGTCGTAAAATGCGTCAGCCCAAAGTACTGGTAATAAGCATACAAAATATGTGGAGAGAAGGGCAAGGAAAGTAACGGCAGCTTTCCTGCTGGTGTCATCTTGAGACGAAGGCTGTCGACGCACAAAACTCCTTATTGTACAATAAGAGACGATACTAAATGTCAAAATAACAACAAAGAATAATATAGAAAGCAACTGAAACACATTACCAATGTTTAGTACATTGAGGACGAAACTATTTTTATTTTGTTCTATTTGTACGATAACAATCAAATATCCGACCGGAATGAATGCCATAAGCCATAAGCACACAGTTAATGCGTTGCCCTTCCCTTTTGACAGCAACCGGCAGTATGTCAATGGATATCTGACCTTTATAAGTAAATCTGCCGACAATAACAGCATTGTCCCCAGTGTTGCAAATTGTACAATCAGGTAAAAACTAGATAGAACCAACACTAGAGTGTCAGGTTTGAAGTTAAGCCTTACACTTTCCTTTATGTTCCAAAAGCACACGTACGGTTTAAAGTACAGAGCTATGTGTAGCACGCCTGTAAGTAAATCACATATTGACAGACTCAGCAGGAATTTCAAATGCGTTTTAAGAGAGCCCTTTATTGACAGCAAAATAAAAATTATAGTTGTGTTGAAAATTACGCCACATCCAGACAAAATACAGGCGATTATTTTCAAATACATCAGAAGCATGATGTCACTTTTATCTTCTCCATCGTCAAAATATATAGTTGTATCCTCCATCTTTTCGGCTATTTCCGTCAATTTCCGTAATATAATAGTTTATATGTACCAGCAACTGGTAACTTAGTGCACATTGTATGTTAAGTTCTGATTTTATATTTGTTAATTCGGATCACTTTATTTTCCACTTTCGATTCAGTGCACTTATTGTAGAAAGTTAAATTTACGAAAATAGAACCGTGGAGAGTTATCTTAACGCCGCCGGATTTTCTATGTCGACATGAATTGTACAATTATGAATAAATATTACAGTATCGTTAGTATAATAACATGTTTATAGAGAACAATTATCCGATTTTTCATACAAATGGTAAAAGAACAGGTCTTGTAGATGTCAACGCACGAAATAATGTTATTGTTTAATTTAGTCTGTTTGTTACCGCTGATTTTTTTTCGACTTGGTGATTTACTGTTGAGAGCTGCGTTATTTTGACATTTTATTTTCGTTTAATGATCAACATTATTTTTTGTCCAATCACATTGTAGTATTTTTCAAATTTCTGCTAAGTCTAACTTTGGTTAATGTGTACTAACTAAATAGAATTTACTTAATCTGTCGTCTAACCAGTCTAACAAATTTCAATAATGCATTATATTAGGGAGGAGTTAGAGGTGTGATTTGCACTCTGAACTGTAAAATATCTAGGTTAGCAAAACAATGCCAACGTAAAAAAACAATTAAAGGTCAGGTGTTTCTAAATGTGAGGATACAATCAATTAATTTATTACATAGATAATACATGTTGGGCATGCAGAGACAAATGATTACATAGTAACTTTTTTTTATATCCTTTTAACTCTAAGAAAAATGTCTGTTATAAATAGCTGACTGTTTAAAAAAAAAATTCTAGAAAAAGTAACCAAAACATAATTTTCTTTCAGTTGATAGGAATGAACTGCATTAACAATCCTTGATATTAAGAATACAATGATTACATTTTTTGGCTGGAAAACTCATTGTAAATGGACCCCCCTCACCTGTAAACCTAGATCGACACACAGCAAAACTGTTTTTTAAATGAGCAAATTAAAAGGGATTTTAAATGTTAGTGAATAACTTAAAGCTAATAACGAATTTGTATAAATTATTAATCTATTAATGTATTTTCTCACATTTTCCATTTATTTATAAAGGATGTACACATTTCATTAACTCCATTGTTTTTACCTCATTGCATCATTTTCCTCCCAGATATGATAGTCTTACTGTAGATAAAAGTATAAATTCTGTGACATTTCAGTAAAAAATGTGCCGATAGGGCCATTTATTTAGCTTATCTAAATGTGATATGTTAGAAACTTGACAAGGTGTAGACGTCTTGTAGAGCGAAAGGGTGGAGCTATCGGTGATTTAGTGAAATGGTTGAAAAAATAATGTTGATCATTAAATAGGTTAATGTTTAATAATATGCATTACAATAATTGGTCGCCTGCCTGTGGCAGGCTTGACCAATTATTTTTGTTAATACATATTATTAAACACTAACCTATACATAATGCATTATATTAGGGAGGAGTTAGGGGTGTGGTTTGCACTCTGAATTGTAAAATATCTAAGGTTATCAAAACAATGCCAACGTAAAATATTTTAGGGAGGTCAAGTGTTCTAATTGTGAGGATACAATCAATATATTTATTACATAGATAATACATGTGGGGCACGCAGAGACAAATGATTACACAGTAACTTTTTTATATCCTTTTAACTCTAAGAAAAATGTCTGTTATAAATTGCTGACTGATTTAAACTTTATATTTTCTAGAAAAGTAACCAAAACATTATTTTCTTTCAGTTGATAGTACATTTGTAACTGCATTAACAATCCTTGATATTAAGAATACAATGTTTACATTTTTGGCTGGAAAATTCATTGTAAATGGACCCCCTCCACCTGTAAACCTAAATTGACATACAGAAAAAAGGTCAACTGTTTTTCAAATGAGCAAATCAATAGGGATTTTAAATGTTAGTGAATAACTTGAAGCTAACAACGAATTTGTCTCACATTTTCCGTTTATTTTAAAAGAATTTACGCATTTCATTAACTCCATTGTTTTTACCTATTTGAATTTTTTTCCTCGCTGTTTTTTTTTTCCAGATATTTAATAGAAACATGATAGTCTTACTGTAGATAAAGGTATAAGTTCTGTGACATTTCATTGACGTTGCGATTTGGTGTACGATGTCCTTCTCCGAAAATTGACGTTGCGATTCGGTTTTCGATGTCCTTCTCCGAAGATTGACGTTGCGATTCGGTGTTCGAGGTCGTTCTCCGTAGATTGACGTTGCAATTTGGTGTTCGAGGTCCTTCTCCGAAGATTGACGTTGCGAGTTCGAGGTCCTTCACCGAAGATTTGCGTTGCGATTTGGTGTTCCAGGTCCTTCTTTGAAGATTGGTGTTGCGATTTGGTGTTCGAGGTCCTTCTCCGAAGATTGGCCTTGCGATTTGGTGTGCGAGGTCCTTCTTCGAAAATTGATGTTGCGATTTGGTGTTTGAGGTCTTTCCCTGGAGATTGACGTTGCGATTTGGTGTTCGAGGTCCTTCTCCGAAAATTGGCGCTGCGATTTGGTGTTCGAGGTCCTTCTCCGGAAGTTGGCGCTGCGATTTTCGAAAATTGGCGTTGCGATTTTCGAAAATTGGCATTGCGATTTGGTGTTCGAGGTACTTTTTCGAAGATTGACGGAAAGGACCGAAAAGCGCCGATTGCAAGCCCAGTTAAAACATTTACTGTTAAAACACGTTCGTTTAAAAAGGAAGAAGCGTAACATATAAAAATTGTTTTAATTAAATTAGACATAAGATACCAGGAAGAAAAATTAAGTGGCAGAAATCTAGATACAGAATATGTCGATCAAACAATAGCACATTAATATAAATGATATAATTCCAAACTATTAGTAACGATACTATCAATTATAATCGAGTGATAAATAATTAAAGGACGACCAATAAAATAAATATCATAAGGGAATATATACGCGCCATATTGTCACTACACAGGCTAAATATTACTTCCGTTTGATTTTAGAAATAATACGATGGTGTCCATAGTGTTATAAATTCTTCTCTCTCGTAATTTATAATTTCTACTACTTCCATAATTCCACATAAAAATACACAATAACTGTTCTTAATTTCATTTCACTGTTTATTTGTTTGAAAGTGTCCTAAATTTCTACTCTACAATTAATATTTAAAGTTACAGAGTTTTTCTTCCTCACACATGGTTGATAAGTCACTGAGAATTAACTCTCAAAATCCCTATCCCAACTCTATCTCTTACAATCTCACTCTTGCATTTTGAATCTCGTTCTTCAATCTTCAATCTAGACTGCCCCTAGAAAATCTTGTCCCAGTATTTATATGAAATACCTTGACTCTCCATATTTGGAGGTTACCTTAGTGTTAATTGACAAATCTAAGACTTCTATATTTATGACGACAAGTGTTGATTAAGTAACTGTACCAGAAACAAACAGACTGATCCCTGGAATATTTATGATGGTAACCAATGATTGAGTTCCCTAAACACAACAATTGCAGACCTCTTGTCCATTATTTATGCAGGTACCCGTTGACAGAGATACCAAACTAAAATCTCCCAGACTGATACACAGTCTAGCCCCAACAGATTTATAGTAATAAATAATGACAACAAATGAGGTCTCAATTCTCATACAAACTCAATCATTAAATCAAACCTTAACCAGGTGCCTTGCTAAAACTACAACACTCCCCCAACCTTAAAAAGCTTAATTGTCCCAATTAAGTTAACAACACCAAACAAAAATATAGAAATGAAACAAAAATCAGTGACTATTCAACCAAACTTACTCCCAAAATGAATAGAAGTTTAACAATAAAACATTCTCAATTAACATATAAACACTGCATTAACTAAAATAAGCATTATTCAAATACGAAATTCTAAGAAAATACTAAATCTACAGAAATGTTACTTCTGTTAACGACAATTTTTTTTTCTGACTACAATTATACATTGAATACTCAAAACAAACTAATTAAAGTTCTCAAACAGTTGTTCAACTTTTAACACCGTGTTTTAATATCAAAATGAAACTTATTTTGTCACTCAATTATATAATATAATTGTTCTATTGTCCCTTTTTTTTCTATTTCACAATATCCTAATTCAACCTTTCACACATTGTCTATTTCTTGCACACAAAGTCCTGGTGCCTATTTATTTCTTAATAAATTTTAACAAATGTGTAAGAATTCTTAAAAGGCACAAACTGAATATAAAATTTGTTTGGTAGTCGTCTCTACCATAGAGTCATAAGTGCCAAAATATTAAACTTAATATTTATATATAACATAGTTGAAATTAGAAAATGGCACTGATTGTTAAACTGAAAATAAAACACTTTAAAATCCAATTTAAACCAGAATCACACAATTATATTCCAATTGAAAAGAATCACAAGTTAATATTCCAATTCAGAATGAATCACAAATTAATATTCCAATTTTGAAATGAATAACAAATTAATATTCCAATTTGAACTAATCACAAATTAATTCCGATTGCGTTTTATATCCAATATATATTTTTGTAAGAACAACGTTTAAAATTCCTCTTTTTTCACTATTTTCTTTACACTGTCATATTATTCCAATATTAATTCCCTACACAATTCTGAATAGTCGAAAACTCCGAAATGACTGCAAAATCTCAGAGTACCCTTATATACCCAACATGTACTCCTTTGAAATCAAAACTTATTGAAAGATATTTTACATGATGATTCTTTATGATCTTTATGTTCTGTGCTGGTAAGGTATGTGTTGAGTCCTATTCCTTTTACCTCTTCTAACTTGTTGAAAATCTTATTCCAGATGCCATCTTCTGCATTGTCTTAGTTTCTTTGATTTGTGATTTATTGTTACTCTTGTTGATCCTAGCCATGTTTAATTGCCAATTTGTCATTTAATTTCCATGATAATGTTTCAAACTATCATGATGCATGATTTCCACATGGCCATTATCTGTCCTTGTTATCATTTTGTGACCAACAGTGCATTTTGGAGATTGTTTTAGAAATGAACACTTCTGGCATTGCTTTATATGAATTTCAACACTGTGTCTTAGCGTAAACCAATAAAACTTGCATTTTATTTTTGACAAAGTTTTTGTAATTCCCAAATGAGCGCCTGTAACTGAGTCATGTGTAGATACCAAAATTTCTTTTTGTAAAACCTTTGGAACAATAAGAAGCAAAGCGTCCTCTCTTGTGTTGAGAAAACTGTTACATTTTATAAACAGCACTCCATCTTTCATCACTAGCATGTCATAGTTAAACCAGTAGTTCCTTATATTTTGAGAATATCTAGCTACCTTGTCCCTGGAGAGTCTTTTGTTTTCAATAACCCATGTTATAACAACTTCTAAATCTGGGTCTGCTCTCTGTAGTTTTGCAATTCTGACAGGTGAATTACAAGTAATGTTGAACTGCATAAGACAACCCAAGTTAGATGCCTGAGCTTCATTTACTGATGAAACAACTTCGCCCCCTAGTATGGAATTTACGTCCTTGTCAACTACTTGTTTGCTTCCAGTAACCCATGATGTCCCAACACCTAAATCAAGGTCTGCTCTCTGTAATTTTGCCATTCTAATAGGTGAATAATTAATAGTGTTGAACTGCTTAAGACGACCCAAGTTAGATGCCTGAGCTTCATTTTCTGATGAAACAACTTCGCCACCTAGTATGGAATTTACGTCCTTGTCAACTACTTGTTTGCTTCCAGTAACCCATGATGTCCCAACACCTAAATCAAGGTCTGCTCTCTGTAATTTTGCCATTCTAATAGGTGAATAATTAATAGTGTTGAACTGCTTAAGACGACCCAAGTTAGATGTCTGAGCTTCATTTTCTGATGAAACAACTTCGCCACCTAGTATGGAATTTACGTCCTTGTCAACCACTTCTTTATTAATTTCACTGATGTTGAGATTGCTTCCACTTCTTCGACCATGCGAATGTAGACTTTCACGGAAATGAAGTCGACCAATGTGATATCGAAAATACTTCCTTGTCCTATTCATTCCATGGAAAAGTGATCTTAAACAACTCAATAATCTCATAACTTGCAGCTGCATTAACAAGAAAACATCACTCCAAAATGCCCAGTCATTTTGAGGTTTCACTCCTAACACAACAGGTTTGATACTTTTCCCTTTACCTATGTTCTCATTGAACAAGGGAACAACATTATCAAATTCGGCAAAATCTGACCAAGACTCATGTTTCTTCATACAGGTTACACACCCTTTGCAAGGTAATTCTTCCAAAATTGTTTTTCCATCATAACAACTACACTCTTCTTGTTCATATGACATTCTAGAGAGACCGTCAAAATTTGCTTATTTTCTCCCACTTCTATGTTCAATCCTAAAATTTAAATGTGACAAATCTTCTAAACAGCGAGCCATTTGACCTGTCGGCGACTTGAACAACATTTGACATCGCAGACTTGAACAATATGTACTTAAAAGAAATTCTCTTTCTAAAAGATAGGGTCTATACTGAGTGATAAAAGTAACAACATCCAAAAGTTCTCTCCCAGTTGCACAGTACAGTCTTTGAGTTTGATAAAAGACTTAATTGCAAACGTAAAAGGCTTCACAACATTAACTTAAATTCCGCTTCCTGATGATCTATGATATAACCCTTATAACTTACTGCTCCATTTAGTGAAATCATATTTAATATTATCGTATGTTTTACTAATTAATTTACAGTCATCAATTTTCACTTTCTCTTTCAATAAATCTAATTGATTTAATTCATACAAATATCCAAATAATGACCCCTTGGTCAATGTTACATTTCTATCAAAAGTTAACTAATCTAATGGGAATTGAATTCCCTCGAACTTCCCTATGGGATACTAGCACACTTCCCATAAACACTTTATCTGCTGGCTATTTATTTTCCGAAAAGCAGGAGATGCCTAATGATGAGTTAATTGTTCCAAGATTTATTGCCGTACCAGGTTTAACAATGTCTGAATTTACTTGAATTGATGCCATTGACTGTGTTATAATTTTCACAAATCTTAATGGCACATTCTCCACAATTTCTTTTTTTCATTAATCCTAATTTAATTCCAATCGAGCAATAAATAAAAACATATTTTTCATTTAAAGTCTTATCCTATTAATCTATCTTCATGAATATGTGCAATGAAAACAGTGCACTTAAAAGTCTGACAAAAATTCACACTAACCAACTATAATTAATAATCCATCTATGTCATTAATCCTCTGGAGATAATGATTCACAATTTTATCTCTTTGTAACATGGCTTCTTGCTCTGTTTTTCTAATTTCCTGTTTTCTTCTTCTGCAATTCTCAGTTTTTCATGTAATAATTGAGTTTCTGATAAAACATTGTCACCAAATTGTTCTTCCACAATAATTGAAGCTGCACCGGTTTGTTTCTTTGGTCCCATTTTAGTAATTTTATAATGTACAGTTCAAATAAATGTCTCTTCAGATAATCACTTTAAAATCTTTTCTAAACGTGTTAAAGTCCAAAAATCCCGTTCGCTGCCACCAGTGTTATAAATTGTTCTCTCTTGTAATTTATAATTTCTACTACTTCCATAATTCCACATAAAAATACACAATAACTGTTCTTAATTTCATTTCACTGTTTATTTGTTTGAAAGTGTCCTAAATTTCTACTCTACAATTAATATTTAAAGTTACATAGTTTTTCTTCCTCACACATGGTTGATAAGTCACTGAGAATTAACTCTCAAAATCCCTATCCCAACTCTATCTCTTACAATCTCACTCTTGCATTTTGAATCTCGTTCTTCAATCTTCAATCTAGACTACCCCCTAGAATATCTTGTCCCAGTATTTATATGAAATACCTTGACTCTCCATATTTGGAGCTTACCTTAGTGTTAATTGACAAATCTAAGACTTCTATATTTATGACGACACAAGTGTTGATTAAGTAACTGTACCAGAAACAAACAGACTGATCCTGGAATATTTATGATGGTAACCAATGATTGAGTTCCCTAAACACAACAATTGCAGACCTCTTGTCCATTATTTATGCAGGTACCCGTTGACAGAGATACCAAACTAAAATCTCCCCAAGACTGATACACAGTCTAGCCCCAACAGATTTATAGTAATAATAATGACAACAAATGAGTCTCAATTCTCATACAAATCAATCATTAAATCAAACCTTAACCAGGTGCCTTGCTAAAACTACAACAATAGAATGGTCCCTTAGGTACATACATTGTTTATCAATCCTCAATATTTGAATAATTGCTTACGACTGCTGGAGGTCGAATTATTCATTAACTGATATAAATCAAGAACTTGTAAGGAAAAGCACCAATCAATATCACCGTTGCGAATTGAAATATCAAAATAATAACAATAATGAAAAAAATAATAAAAAGGTCAGTACAATCTCAAACTCAACTTAGTTTGGTAATAAAATATATGAGCGTATGGTTGAACAGGGCTCAGTTCGTCCCGCCTATCGCCGCACTAATTTGAAATCAGTTTAAGGAGTAAAGTTTAAAGAATTAATAATGCCAACGAATCAAAACATAATTGCAGTGACAAAGAAGAGAAATCTCGTTTCGGCAACACAAAAAGTTCATTTATACGAAAAGGACATCGCAACTGATGAAGTATCACTGAAGTATTAATGCATTTAAAAGCAAATCAGCGTTTGAAAACAGTAACAAATTGTGGCATGTATAGATTGTGATTTCTTTTTTTGTATATATAAAAGATAACGAAAGGGTAGTTTGGCAGTCACCTATTCAGTAGGACAAATATTTCATTTTATATTGAAAAAAATGAACTATTTAACATTGGGGATAAAGAAGTTGACATGAATAACCATTTAAGTCTTTGATTCTTGGCCCAGAACTCATAAAAATTGTAAAATCTAATTAGCACCCATTTTTTAAATATCTAAATAGTTCTCAGTCATAAAACTGCAAAACAAGTGAATACTTCAGTGTGCATACATTGAGGGGAGCGATGACCTAGTGGTTATGGTAGCTGCCTCTAAACCAAGCGGTCGTAGGTTTGACCGAATACTTGGGTCACGACCATGTTTACCCCACAATATTGTTAGTTCTAGGAAGCGGACTCAGAAGTGTTAAGTAGCAGTTGAAATAACATGCCTCACAAAACAGCTTAAAATATTCCTCAAATAAAGTAAAACAGTATCCCTATAGAAAACTCAACACGACAAAAAATCTAAAAAAAAATGTTGCAAACTCGGTTTGATTGAGCTTGCTCCTACACTTTTTTACATTATTCAAGCATGGCATTATTATTTCTGTGAATCACTTCCGTGTAGAAATGACGCTGTTTTCAAGTTATGTAAACCATGTTATTAGAGAAGACCAGAAGCCCATGTAAATGAGAGATTGCGCAAACACATATATCGACAATGTGATTTTTTATTTAAAGTGACATAATTTTGGGGTTGAAGCATGTTTAAATAACGTATCAAAACATCGTAGTTTGTTTTATCTTTAGGCAATGTGAACATGATCACACATTTTTTCATGCAAGTGAACACAAAAATGTTGAATTCCCCGTATCAATAATAATCATACTAGGACATAATTATACTTAATAATATTACTTTTATGAAGTAACAACTCACTATTTTAAAATTTTAGTATGTTACAATGTATTAAATATACCGAAAATGAACACATGTACAAATATGAAATGTAATTACAATGTATTAGTCAGACTTAACTGTATAATATTTGAAATGTCCCTTATTGCCTTTGTCAAAAAGTTGTTAAAAGTTAAAGCTATAGTAAATTTAAAGTCTCATTGCAGTATTCCCTGCTTCTGTAAAATAATATTCAAACAGTCGTTTAGGCAAGTAGGCAGTGTTCAAAATGTCTCCCATGACGCAAACGGCAATGTAGATGTAATAGGTAGTTAACACGTGTCTCATTTCGTCTTATACGACCATTTCTCATAATTACACCATCATTTCTTGTCATTTCGTTTTTTATGACCATTCCTTATAATTACACTCTAACGTCTTTGTCATTTCGTTTTGTACGACCATTCCTATTAATTACATTCTTATTTCTTTGCCATTTCGTTTTGTACGACCATTCCTATTAATTATACTCTTGTGTCTTTGCTTTTATTCTTTTCCCGTTTCAGACTCCATTCATGAATATTAGGAATGAAATATGTTAATACAGCACCAATAATAAGACATGTCCCAATTAGGTTGTATGGGTAGGTATATGTTCCTGTCGTGTCCTTGAGGTAACCTACAAAAAACAAGAAAATGGTCATTGTTTAATTGGTAAAGTTTCCGGCAGCGTTAAATTTAACCATTAGAAAATTTTCATTAGTTTGAATAAGAAGCTTTACAAGGTTTAAATTTTTAGCAGAAATGCATTTTACTAAGCATAAGTTCACACCATTTTAATTCAAATGGCCTTTTGTATTTACTTTTATGTATCTCAACTTCACCCGTCACTTTAACCGTAAGCCTGTTTATTTTCTTATTTGTTTTGACTAATATTTTAATATTGAGGTAAAGTATCTGTAGCCCTATTATAGTAGATGTAAATATACACAATACGTAAGTACAAAAGCCAACTTACCAACAATTGGCATGCAGATACCAGATGACACCCCTTGTACCAGACTAGTGAAACCCAATGCTCCCTTCACAACAAAAATAATATATCATTCTTATAATTACTACACAATATTTGCTCAATTTTACTACGATAAAAATGAACACCATAGCTGGATTTTAAAATGTTATGAATATTGTGATACATTCACAAATTATTATTAGCCCAATAACTAATTAAGCATACTCGGGGAAATGAAGGACACGCCCATCATATCAACATATAGTATGAAAAAATATTTATAATCTATGTATTTAATAATTTAATTGTCTCACAACTGAAATATGAGGCAGATGTAAGACAAACACTTTCTATTATTTCTTGAAATGGCATATTACCTTGAACTCTTCGAAAGAAAGTATGTCCAGAATAACGACGACAAAGAGTGAGAAGTATACACCCTGTAGAAGCCCAGATATTACTGCATATATCATAAGAGTTGAAAATGTTGTCATGAAATGCAAGAACTCAGCAGCCAGACCAAGTACCAAACAAGCAACAGCAATGATTGTTGATCGATGACACCACTTTTTATCAGATATATAGCCTATAACAAATCTAGATAAAAGTTCAACAATACTCATTACGCTGATCATCAATGCTACCATGTCATTGTCTATACCATTGTCATATGCAAGAGGGGCAAGGAACGCGGTTGCTAAGCTACATCCCGCGCAGAGAAAAGCATTACATATAAGAAAATACTGAAATTCCGGTTTTGACAAAAGTTTTGTATCAAACAACCTTTTCATTGAATTTAAAAATGTTTTTCGAAATCTGTTTGTACATGTTGATTGTCCCTTCAGTTTGTTGTCTTCTAAATTGAAATTTGTCTCTTCTTTTGTCTGATCTTTAACGAGTGTTAAGTCCATCAAAGACGTATTCATTATATCCGTACTTGTAAATCTTGCAACATCTGAATTAAACAATGAATGAACAGATGCGTGTTCAAATTCATCAGTTTTCACCGCAAGTCTTTTCCCTTCTGTTTCACTTTCGCTTATAGCTCTTCTTCGTCGTGTTTTAGCAGGAATTAAACCTTTAACATTCTCGTTAATGTGTCTAAGACTACTAAAGTATGGACTTTCAACACTGTTTTGCTTACTAATGGTCCTATTTTGTAAAACTGCAACAGGAATTGTTTTTCCTTTAATGGCACTGTTACCTAAAGTCTTAACAATATCTCCTGACTCATTTGTGTCCACGTCTTTATTGGTAGTAGTTATGTTAATGCGTTTACACTTACTTTTGTAAAAACTCATCGGCCTAAGTAAACAAGCTATTGCGAACAATTGCAAATTAAGACCGGTTAAAATTATGTACGTTCCAGTATATGAATAATACTCAAAAAGTTTGGTAACTATTGGAGCTAAAGCAATGGTGCCCAGGCTGACCCCGCAATTTCCTATGTTGTTTGCTAAACCTCTCTTTTCAACAAAATAAGTATTAATGATTGTAGCTGTAAACGTCATCAGGAATGCATTTGCCAAGCCTGAAATAATTGAAAACAACACAACTAATATTAATTCGTGGCAATTGATATGAAATAGACCGAAACGGAATCAAAAACCAATCTGACTAAAGTTCAGACCCGCTTTTTTCTGATCTGAGCGTGGCTAATACCGGCTCGCATTCCATCCGCTTTCCGATTCGGCTATTTGTAATCCAACCAATCAAATCAACTGTTACAGAAAAATGTTTAAGAAAACCATCGTTACCCGAAAAGTCGGATAAGTCACTCATTTTGCATTAGAAAAACATGTACTTTAATATGCTGATTCGGTCACAAAGAAAACCGCGAAATGTGGCCACTGATACGCGAAATGTGGCCACTGATACGCTAAGGGAGGCCACTGATTAACTGGTTGAAAGGCCACGAGGTGACCACCTTTTGTAACTGTCAGATCCTAATTAGTTAAGAACTGATTTTAAATAATTAAATAATTTTGAGGACCAAACATTGGCTGTTGAGGACCATTATTAAAGCATTAAATGAAACATTGTCCAGTCACATAGGCAGAGTTATTTCAAGCATGCGTCGAGGGGGTGGGAGATAAGTAGTGACATTTCCTAGCACAGATGCAAAGTCTTGAATCTAGTCTTATATCAAATCATATCTTTATAGTGCGTCAGTAACTGTGATCTTTAAAATAAAGCCGATTTAATTCATTTTGATCATTTATTACTTTCTCAGTCATGTTTAGATATTTGTTAACTTTGACACAGAAATGAGACCATATTATTGAATTTATTCCTATGATAACATAGATCAATTTTTACAAAAAGGAATTTAATTTCGTGAAGACGTTATGTCCCATTTTTCAAAGTATTGTCAGGCCTTAAACCTATATATCGCTACAATTACTATGAAACTTTGAAGCACGTTTTGTAGATAAGCTACATCTAAACAATTAAATGTTCCCTATGAAACCGACATATCTGTTAAAGCTACGCTCTAAATTTCTATTGTGTTTTAGAATTACCACTATCACATATCACAGGCGTTCGGCTCATTTGTCTTACCGCTATAAATGGTCAAATAATCACAAAACAATCTCCCGTTTATCCGTTTATCATCAAGAACAAAATTACTATCCAGCACCAGTTTACTATATACAATATACTCGTATACTTTAAATAATGAACGAATGCTGGATCACGGAAAAGGAACTGAAGGATAAAGTTCTTATGATAACTTGTCAGGAGTTCTTATGATAACTGTTACGGAGTTCGTGGAAACCGTTACGCATTCCGTTATATACCGTAGAGACACTCGTCAAAAATGATAATGTTCGTCATTAAAAGGGGAGGGTTTAATGCTAAACTAAGCTTGCCTTACATTTTGTATTATGTGTCAGAAAAAAAAATTTAGTTCATTTTTAATTTTCATTACCACTTGCTTAAAATCTGGTAGTTTTGAGTAAAAATTCCAAATTACTTGCTTATTCGTACACATTGACCAGTCCTTTTAAAGTTATAAGTTATCATTTTTACGCGTGTTTCTCCAGTATACAATAAAGTTTTCCGGCCAAATCAATAACGTTTTCCAGGAACGCCGTGATAGTTTCCCTAAGAACATAAGAACTCCATCCTAACGTTGACCTTGTCCAGAAAAAAACATTTTTATTGTTTTTGTTTTTTTGTACGCTTTGGTTGTTTTCGTATGAAATTACCACTGTCACATACCACAGGTGTTCGGCTCATTTGTAATGGTCAAATTATCATAAAATAATCTTTCGTTGATCACCAAGAACAAAATTATGGTCCAGCACCCGTTTGCTATATATACAATATATAGACTACTGTATATAATGGACGAATGCTGGATAATGCTGTATATTGGTTAACTTGTGCAGAAAAAAACAATAATTTTATTGTAAGTTTTGCCTTGATTTTGTTTCGATATACAATTTTAGCAATCATATCTTACCAGATGCTACACCAAGTGTAACCATTGCAATTCTGACGTCATCAATGAACGCGGTAATCATAGAAGCTACTGACGTAATAGTTCCGCCGATGAAGAAAGAAGTTCGTGCAGACATTGAACCGCCAACTGTCATGATAATAAGTGCTGAAAATATAACAACCGAACAAAGTTTGTGAATTACTGAATTCTCATGATTTTGTTTTGCTTTGATATAAGAAACTGCTACTGTTCGTAATTATCCATATTTAAAACATGCCGTATTTCATTTGTGGGTATGTACGTTACACACTGACCATAATAATGTCATCTATGAACTTTAGACCATTATAAAGATATTTCTTTTCTTAATGGCGAAATTGTATACATCCGGTGTACCACTCGGGACTGAATCGGATGATAATTTTATCATTTAACTTCCGCTTCAACATGAGTTAAAAACATAAAATGAGTAGGGGCCTACCTCAAAGATCGCCCGAACATTTCAAAACTGAAATTGATTAATTGATTAAACAGGTGAATCCATCCCTGCAAGTTTATCCTGTACTTTTTTTGTAATAAAACACTGTTTCAAACAGAATTAATGAGAAGTTGTTATCTTGTGCTTTAAACTATGATTAGACGAAATGAAAGACAATCTTACCAGATACGCTGTATGTCGCATTCATCAACGTATAAATGACGGACGTTGCCGAAGAGGATGATCCATAACGCTTCTGAAGCTGAACAAAAATTATACCAAAGCACTTAAGCTGTCCAATCACAATAAAGTGAACGCACACTGACGCTGCGGTAGTAAATAATACAGAATTATCAGATTATACAGAAAATAATATTCAGAAAACAAACAAAAATAAATATGTAGAATTTTTTTTATAAAAAGTATATTTTCATTTTACAGACGCTTGTTTATGTGTATGCATTTCAAAAATTGTTTGAAGTTCCTAAAGAATAAAAAAACATGCACAAAAAAAAAACCCACAGCAATTAATGAGCTTCAAATGATTCTAGATTTACAAATCAGCTTCATTTGTTTTATTTAACGAACCGTGATGATTTTAGACCATTAAGTGAATAAAAGGAACAGTCGTAAAAGTTTAAAGATACGAAATGTCTATAGACTGTTTTACAATACGAAATTTCCATAGAATCGGAAGTAGCGTTCCACGCATGCGCATTCTGCGTAGGGCAAAAAGAATGAAGCATTACCGAAACAATGGCTATTTATAAAAGTATATTAAACCCTTCCTTTATATGATCTACATTTGTATTTTCTTAATAACTTTCATATATGAGGTCATTCAAGTCCGAATTCCAACCAGTGGTAAGTACAAAATAGACTGTAGACAGTTACATTTACATTTAGCAAGCAATCCTTTTTAACATAAGCCGGGAAATACTTATTTATTGTGATACTATCGATGTATGCGACCGACATCAAAATAAATAAATAAATAAATAAATAAATAAAAAAGTAAGCTAACCAAGAAGTATAATCCAAGCCCATCCTCTGTCTATTGGTAATTTGTCTTCAGTTTTCTCAAATATTTCTTTAACATTTTCCGTTCCGTGATTATCATCCAACCTTTGACGTTCCTTATTTATTCCAGTTTGAAAATGGTCGTCTGCTAACAACTTTGCAGATTCATCCCCATTTGTCAAATGCAAGACATCAATTTCTTGGTCCGTTGGTCTAGTGTGTTCGACTTTCTCATCAAAGCCTTCAGCATGCTTCGTGCTTACATCATCAACATCGTAACATTCCAGTGTCTGATTTGGAAGACTACCATGGTCCTTGTCAAACAAACCGTGTCCGTTTCTATCTTTGCATCTTTCCGGTAAGATCAAATCCCTTATCCTGTTCCCTGAAACTTCCACGATCTCTTTAGAGACATAGGATCCTTGTATTTGATCGTGAGAATCGTTTGACACAACCATAATTCTTCTTTCACCAACAGGCAGAAATAAAAAAAAATCACGTTTACATGAGGATTTAATATGAAAAATTCTTTACTTCAGTTAAAACTCCCTAAAATTAGTCTTATAAAAATTGAGCTCCCTTTTAAATCCTTTAGTTCAGTTTCTTGATGTTGTGCAATTTTGAACATACGTTATCTTGCAGAAGTACATTTGTTGTGAAAGAGTCCTCAATGAAAAACATTGTACTATCTTTGTGTCCTCTTATTAAATTGTGATAACACTCATGAAACTACTAATTTTATCTCTTATTTATTTGCATTCAGATACAAATGGTCACATCAAGTATTAGCCTCCAATCTCAAAATGTTTTTATCGCATGTAAGACGTTTTACCAGTGACCCTAACTAGATAACTTAAACAAGAGGGTCCTGATGGTCCTGGATCGCTCACCCAAGATTCTTGCTACAAAAGGGTAAAGCCATTCACGAAGTCATGTAAGATTTGTCATCTTTTCTCTAGACTGCATAGATTTTAAAATATACATGTATATATGTTTGTTCATGTCTGCTACAAAATGCTTCATGACAAATATCTACGCTCTTGGCAAAGTAATTTCACACAAGAAGACGTAATTTAGTAATTGTTTTACTATGTCAGTCTATGACACCCAGGATAGGCCCGTTTTAATCCCAGGGGCATGATGAAAATATTTTTATAGAGGACCACAAGGTGATGCCTCATGCAGAATATCTAAACTCTTGGAATTGTACATTTACTTTCAGAAGAAGATTTGAAAGACATTTTACTTGACAAGTCTTAAGAAAATAAGTGAGTCACAGGGGCACACCAGAGGCATTAATTTCCTAACATTTTGACCCAAAGAACATGGTAAATACAACTTTTGAAAATGACCACAATAAGCTGCTTCATGCAAGTAAGATATATGAGATATGCTTACTTTACAACTATGTAAAATAAGCGACCCTCATGGCTGGGCCATTTTGACCCAAAACTAAAACAACTTGTAGAGGACCACTAGGCAATGCTAGATGCTAATCTAAGCTCTTTGTATTGTAGTTTAACAAAAGAGTACTTACATGTATTTTCCTTTATACAAATACTTTTAACTAAGGGACCCTGGGGCTGAGCCAATTTTGACTTCGAGGGATTGATTTATGTAATATTTGTAGAAGACCATAAGGTGGTGCAAAATATCTATGCTCTGGGAATTGTAATTGCAGAAAAGAAGATTTTTGAGATATTGCACTTAACAAGTCCATGTAAAATAAGTGCCCCCCAGGCCTGGGCAATTTTTGACCTCAGGAACATGACTTATATAACTTTTGTGAAGTTCCACGAGGCAATGCTACATGGTAATATCCAAGCGTTTGCCATCGAAGTTTAACAAAAGAAGGCTTAAATGTTTTTTTTATACAAGTCTATATAAAGTAAGTAACCAGAGGTGGGGCAAATTTAACCCCAGTGGCAAGATTTATAAAACTTTTGTAGAAGACCACAAGGTGATAATATATGCCAAACATCTAAGCTCTTTGCTTTGTAGTTTTTGAGGAGAAGTCACTATGCAAGTCTTTATAAATTAAGTGACACTCGGATGCAGCCAATTTTGACCCTAGGAACATGATTTAAGTAATTTTGTAAGGTCTATTTGGCAAAGCTACAAGCCCCTAGGGTGGTGTCTTTTTTTTGAACACAGGGTCATGAATTTTATAACTTTTGTAGAAGACCGCAAGGTTATGCTATATGCCAAATATCTAAGCCCTGGACATTGTAGATTCTGAGAAGTAGATTTTTAACAAACTCATTTTTTAAACCTGTGACATACTTATGCAAAAAAAATTTTTATATAACTTTTGTAGAAGACAATTTAATAATCATTCCTGTAAAGTTTGGCCGAAATCCATCAAGTGTTTAGGCGGAAATATTGTTTAAAGAAATTGCGAACAACGACGGACGGTGGACCCACTACAAACACAAAAGCTAACCTCTGAGCAATGTGTGCTCAGGGGAATTAAAAACGGAATGCCATCTTTTTGTGACTGCTAGAGTTCCCAAAACACCTTTGGTGCAAATGAAATATTTTAGTAACAAATTAAAAGTTTTCGATGAGCTTAAAACATATAACTTTTTTGACATACCTTGCTTTAATCGGGTCACATAGCTTTGTAGTAAAGGTAAACATTGAGCGATAAACAGAGCAACCGCCAGCATAAACCGACCAGAAACGAAAAAAGATGTAAACATTTACGTTCCAACATTTATTTTGACATTTAGCGATTCATATTAAGATCAAATGCAAGAGGTAACAAACGTTTTGTTCAAATGTGATAAAACTACAATACTTGTTTGATTAATTCACTGTAAATTTACTGTTTATACACGTAAATGTTAGCTAAGAAAACGACTTACAAAGAAATATGCAAAATAACAACCGACGTATTTAATTATCCAATTTAGAATTCCATAAAGAATCGCTTAGTATTCTGTAAACCGTAATACCTTTCTCTTTTTCAGTATATCATATTTATATGTATAAAAATCATATGATCAATCTTATGTGTAACCATGCGTTGTCAGCGGTTACAAAATTGTAAACCATTGAGTATTTTACTATAATAATAATAATAATAATAATAATAATAATAATAATAATAATAATAATAATTATTATTATTATTATTATTATTATTACTATTATTATTATTATATAATCAGAATGATGATTATGATGACAATGATGATGATGATGGCGGCTGTGGGTGATGGTGGTAATTCTTGAACTATTATGAGACTCTCTATTACTACGATTTTAATATTTTCATCGGTATATAGAGGATATTGAATGAGTATAGATTCACAACTGAATTTATTGAGCAAGTTGAATTATATTACAGCATAATATTACTTTATTCAATGAGTTTAATAAAATTGAAAGTGAGCCTATACGAATATAATTTTCTATTTATAATACATGTATAACCAAAATAAGAACCTTTTTCAGTAAAAGAAGAATCCCCTTATAGTGTTAAGCTAACATTTAGTATGTCTTAAAATGCAAACATTAAATGACGTCACGTTAAAATATATACATGCACAGTCGTGCTATACCATTTTTACGGAGTCGCAAAAGCGGGAGGTGATAAACAGAGAATATTGAATGAGTGTAAGTTCAATACTGACAGGCAAGCATAATTTTTTTAACAAGTTTAATAGTGTAATGAACCTAGGCGAATATGGTATCAATATATTTACAAGGTCAGAATTGATTTTTAAAATATCTGTTATTCTTTACGGATTTCTCATATAAAATCGATCATTTGATCGTCAAATTTTTATTCGTTCAAAATTTCTTCATTTTTGTATACCACGATACGGAAAAAATCCATAATTAATAAGTTGAAATAAATCTTTATTTTTCACAATTTTATTATAGCATTCGCAAAAATGCGTTTTGAGATTTGCATCTATATAAATACAGTTTAGTCCTTGTCTATTTTGTTAATCATTGCATTACCAAACAAAAAAAGAATATTAAAACGAACAAACAAAACATACATACATACATACATACATGTGAAGACAGTTAAAATACAATGATATATATGACATATTTGACAAATGTTCTCTCAACATTAGCAAAATGTTGTCTGTAAATGTTGTGATTAATGCTTCCGAGGGATCACTTTGTTTCCAGATTTTTATACTTCGCAACAGCAGGTGTCAAGTGCTGTGTGGCAGTTGTAAAAAGTTGCCCCGTACTTCACTTCAGTGTTATTATATTTTTCTAGTCCTTCGGGATCATTGATGCCAGCACTATTAAGTGTTGAGAATTAAGTACCGCTCGTACCGCTCAAGCCGGTGCTAGGGGGCGAGAGGGGTGTTGCACTTATTCATTACCCTTCATGTACAGACTCAATTAAACCGAGTCTGTAATTTTCTTGTAATTTTGTTGTGATTAATGCTTCCGATGGATCACTTTGTTTCCAACGTTTTAAATGCGATCTAGCCAAATATTGTCGATTTTCTGGAGTAGTCGTGTTGGTATTGAAATTTTGGTAAATGCCAGACGACCTTTAGATAAAGAAATTGACGGAGTTCTGTATATCTAATATATTTATCAATGAATTGCGATTATCCACCCGTTCCGATACCCGGTGTAAGGGACGCAACTGACAAAAGAAATAAAATATCTTGCTGTACGAGTTGTGTACCTTTGATCATATCACGGGTTTCCATAAGCGCAGTGATTAAAATTTTATGCATTTAATATTCTAATATTGTTTATATCTTTACGTTAAAAATTTGTTTGCACAATTATATTATTTCTGGAGATGTAGATCTCATTTTTAAATCGACATTATTTATAATAAATTTAATTATTATATTAAACGCGGCTATTAAACGCAGCGCAAACATTTGTATACCTGTTACTAAATTTAGAATACAATTCTTCCATAAAGGTAAAACCGGTTTTTCAAATGTAACGGTGTCAGCTGAAATAAATGAATGGCGAAGAGCAGTGTGTTTCGGACAGGCGTCACACCCAATGATTTTGGACATTTATATAGTTAGTTTACACAAAAAGTAGGAATATTTTTCGAATAAATACCCGACAGTGTACAGGGTAGCTTAAGTTTCAAATCAGGATCAATTTTCAGGAATTATTAATGGACTATTGGGTGTTATTCATTCACGCATAAATAAACAAATTGTTCTTTCTACCGTTCATGTATAAAATTTAGAAATAACAATAAAACAAAATTGTGCTTCTTGTGAAGATAAAAACAAACGTGTGTTTTGCTATTTTATTTTTAAAATATGGAATCACATAATATTGCGCGGAGTCGCGAGGGGCACGCCGCACAGGCTGGAGTAGACAAATGGGTACTAATTCAAGAAAACACATTTAGAAATTGGGTAAACGAACAACTAAGGTCTGGAGGACTGGAAGTAGAAAATTTAGAAAATGATTTTGACGATGGTGTCCGCCTGGTTGCTTTGGTATCTTCGCTGCAAGGGAAGCGGATCAGAGTCATTAAAAATGCCAGAAACCATCACCAACAGCTTGCTAACGTCGCCGAGGCTTTGACAGCTATTGCAAACGACAACATCAAACTAGTAAACATAGGTAAAAATTCTCTTCTTTATAATTTTAATCATTCTAAATTAAGTTGCAATAGAGAATGAATTGCGTTTATATGTAGTTGTATATTAGATAGAATTTTGAAAGACCCTGATGTATCAAAACCGTCAAAACTGATACTTTTACACGAAATTAAAAACATATTTGACAGTTCGCTGGCATATTAAAGTTACAACCAATTTTCTCCTGTATTTGGGTAAAAAAAGAACTGGTTAGTGTGTAAAAATATTTTGCTATAATTTTGGTTTATATAGTATTTCACCTAAAGTTTTACAGGGTATGAAATTGCTTATATCACAAATTCATCCATAGTAACTGAACAGGATGTGCTTCAAATGTTCAACATAAACTTGTAACTTTTACTTTAATTACCTCCCTTTTATTGTGTCATGTGATACAGATTTTGTCATTTAGATATAAGGAGCTTTAAGTCAATAAACTAATTTCATCATGTAGCATTTCTTCAATTATAAGGAAAGAATTGCTGGCCTATTTCAGTTGATTGACTGCAAAAATGAAATGAATCTTATTGTCATAGTTACCTTCCTTTAGCAATTTCATAATTAATAATTAACTCCGTTTACCATGTTTATGAACATAATTACCTCACATTCACAATTACCTTATTGTATTAAGGTTGTTCAATTACAATCATTACTGCATCAGTTTATGAGGAACATATTTCATGATTACCTCCCTTTATAATGTTCATTGTTTGGTTCATAATTACTTCCCTTTTTCAGTTACTAAATTTGTAAATTTACATCTTGGTCAGTTGGTATAAAAAGAACATGATGCAGCAACGCATAGCTCAATCGGTTAGAGCGCGAGACTTGTAATCTCGACATTGTGGGTTCGATTCCCGGGCTGGCCAACTAAAATTACTAATCAGTCTTTCGGATGAGACTTTAAATCGAGGTCCCGTGTATGAGTGCTTAAACACTTGGCACGCTAAAGAACCAGGAGAAGCTTTTGGAAATGGGGCATCTTTCTGTAGTTTTTATTGCACTATCCTCCGAAAAAAATAAAATGACTAATACCCTTCTGGAGGACTCGCCCATATATGGGCAACCAGTGGCAAGTATAAATAAACGCAAATACACACAACTTGTGTGCTCACACATATGGTAATTTTTCTGGTGTCGAGGGTAATTACGTTAATCCTAAACACACCCACACAAACTTGTGTGCATGGATTTATGCATCAAAGGGTATCCTAAAAATTATGTATTTTTACGAATACTGAAGTATCTAAATGCTAGTTTATGCACCAACAAGACTATTTGTGATCTGTGTTTTTAGCTCGACTATTCGATAAGAATAAGTAGAGCTATTGCAGTCACCCGAGCGTCAGCGTCCGCGTCCGCGTAACCACTTATGTTAAAGTTTTTGTAATAGTTCAAATATTTTCAAAGTCCATTGACATATGGCTTTGAAACTTTGCACACTTGTTCACCATCATGACCCCAACCTGTAGACAGGAGGAGGTAACTCTATCAAGCATTTTGACAGAATTATGCCCCTTTTTCGACTTAGAATTTACGTTAAAGTTTTTGTAATAGTTCAAATATTTTCAAAGTCCATTGACATATGGCTTTGAAACTTTGCACACTTGTTCACTATTATGACCCCAACCTGTAAACAGGAGGAGGTAACTGTATCAAGCATTTTTTTTACTATCAAGCACTAAGAATAGTCGAGCGTTGCTGTCTTACCGACAGTTCTTGTTTGTCTTTGGTCTGAACTGGTTTTTTTCCTATTGAATTGAATATTGTCTTATCCCTCACTAAAAATAATAGTTTCATTGTAAATTGTTGCAATACCTGAGTGAAATAGGACAATATATCTGTATACCAAAAGAACATTGATGTACTACCAGTGAAATAGCTCAATATTTCTGTATACCAAAAGAACATTGATGTAATACCATCGAAGTAGCTCAATATTTCTGTATACGAAAAGAAAATGGATGTAATACCAGTGAAATAGGTTAGTCTGATTTTTAATGAAATAAAGTATAAATTATTAAAAAAAGAAGATAACAATTTAAAAATCTTAATACTAAAAGCAGCTTGATCTTTGCTACATAACATTACTGAATCATCAAATAACTTTAATGGTGATTTGATACCTTCATGCGATATCCCTTCAATTTGGTCTTTCACCTTCTCTGTTATGTTTTTGCTGATTTTGTTAAATTTGATACCATAACTTTACCTGCAGACAGAAATACAATACACTTAAAAGTTTCACACAGTTTCTACTAAGGTTAACTCCAGTATGAGTATGGGATAATGTTCACAATATGTTTGTTATTTATAAATGACTGATACATTTAATTTTTTTTTTTAATTTTTGGGCAATTTAGCGAATCTGGATCCATACATATTTTTTTAGATTTCAGAATTAATATAAGTATATTTTCACCAGTTATAAATTGTACTAAGTGAAAATCGAAGTCAGCAAAAAAAATAGGGTTAACAAAAAAAAATGTAAATGAAGTTGTAGTGCTCCCTCAAATGTTTCAACAGTTGACAGATAAATAATCATGTTTAATTTGCAGTGCGTATGTGTAATATTCATCAATATTGAATATATATTAGCCTGAAAGTTCTACTGATACCTTTTGCTAGTAATAAGAATAGGAAATTACATGTCATTTCATTTACTCCTGACGTCACTTCTACTATTGTATAAATAAGATTTAGAAAACATTGACACTATCCAAAGTGGGGTCCGCTTGCTGAGCGCAACAGATAAGTAATACGATTAATATGAATCTACATTATTCCATTTCAGACAAAGTAAACAAATTTAATGCAATCTGTATTAGAATGATAATAATATGAATGAGTTAACTGACGTGTTTTAAAATGTAAGAAACCTCTTTATACTTTCAATATAGAAGAGGACAACACCTTATATTTGAAAGAATGATTAATTCTATAAAAGAATGTGTAAATCTTACAAAATAATACATGGGTGCAGCCACTCATGAAATTTACGTGTTCTTATGTTTGACAAGTACAAAATAGAATTTTATGGTTTCTTTAATGATAGGTTTAAATGATGGTTCAATGGTGACAGAAAGTGATAGATTTACACTTTGTCCTTGAAATTATACTGTAATCAGTCATGCGTGTGTTATTTTATATAGGCGTTTAAGTTAATTCTATATTTACTTTTCGAATATTCCAGTTTTTGAATTTGGTTAACAAACCAAACTGGTTTTGACCTTTTTTTAAAGGCTTTGTGATGTTAAATGAAGACAAAATAAGATAAATATAAAGTTTGATAATGATATTTAAGTAAATGTTAGTGTTTAATAAGTAAGCATTTACAAAATGACATGTATAAATGGCCAGAAGCTGGACAGCATAAAAAAAATTAAAGAAAAAACAAAGTTGTTATAGTTATTCACAGAATGATGTTCCTTTAATTTTAAAAGCTTTAGTACAATGACATTTTCGCAAAAAATAATAGATCAGATTGCATATTTCTGAGTTTCTCAAGGGTTTGTGTCAATGATATAATTTAGCATAAGAATGACAGAAATACAAGTATATTGAGATTTGATGGTAAAGTGTCCAGAATGTGCTTTAAAGACCTTAGTACGAACCATTTACTGCTGTAATTAGTCCCCTACCGGTTTAACCGGAGGGGACTTTAGGTTTACCCTCCGTCCGTCTGTCTGTCTGTCTGTCTGTCCGTCTGTCTATCTGTCCGAGCAGACGAGAGCTACATTATGAGGTTTAGGTTTATGTACAGGCACTCTGTATGGGGTTCATTCCGTAGAGACATGTATTATGTGGTTAAAAATGCTCTTATGGGGTTAAAAAAATTTGCTCTTGTGGGGTTAAGAGATCAAAGGAATAACCCCACAAACACGTCTGCTAAGTAAGTCCGTCTGTCAGTCCGTCAGTCCGTCCACAAAACTGGATCCCGCGATAACGCAAAAAGTACTGAAAATATTTTTATGAAACTTGATATATGGATAGATGGCAGTATGGAGATTATGCACGTCTTTTTTTTTTCTTCCTATGTTGAAAATTCTGGTTGCTATGGCAACAAATAGTCTGAAAATATGGCAAATTTAACACATAAACTGGATCCAGTGATAACTCAAAAAGTACTGAAAATATTTTTATGAAACTTAAAATATGGGTAGATGGCAGTCTGGAGATTATGCACATCTTTTTCTTTTCTTCCTTTGTTGAAAATTCTGGTTGCTATGGCAACAAATAGCCTGAATTTCAAGATTTCTGATTTAAATTTTTCAGCTTTTTCACTATATGTTCTTTATTTCTTAAGGTGTTTACTTCAAACTTTAAATATAAGTTTCTGGTCATCAACCACATCATATGTGACGAGGTTTATAACTCTAGCACAAAAATATCAGTATTACCTCCCTTGAACTTAGATTTTTTAGGGGAAATAATGTTGTCTTTTTTAAATAACTTCTTTATTTCCTAATGTATCTACTTCAAACTTCATATATATGTTTCTTATTATCACTCGACATTTTTGAGAAGGTTAAATACTCTAGCAAGACTATTTCCAGAATTATGTCCCCCTTGAACTTAGATTTTTTTCTAGAAACTGGTATTTTCACTCCAACTTCTTCATTCCTTATAGGATTTACTTTAAAATCCCACATCGTAATAATATGACAAGGTTGTATAAACATAATTTCCTTACTAAGCATGGAAACTTAACACATTACTGTGATATAGACAAACTTATTTTATTATGTTTTGTGGTCGATATTTTCAAATACAGACTTCATCCTCAAATTCATTATAAATGGCAATACACAGGAGTGTATGACAATTAAAGAACTTTTTGAGGGACCGGTAGGGGACTACTGTATTGCCCGCAATACTATCAAATGCTTGTTAATTTAAAGAAGCTCCACTGAGGTAAAAAATTCAATAAATCTGAAAATTCGATCAAGTAAAGCATTTAAATTGACAAAATCTGCAAAG